TGTCGAAGTGGGGCTAAAATTGGACTCCAGATCTCGCTTAGGATCAAGATACTCTGAGGCTCGCACTTTCTTTGTCAAATAGTAGTTCTTCAGAAAAACCCCAGGTGATCCTTCCTCCAAGATCAGAGAAGGAAAAACCAGCAATCAATCAGCACCCAAGCAGTTCAAGGCCGAAAACTACCGCAAACGGTAGTTTTCAGTAGATGGAGACAAACGTATAGAGAAAGAAGAAAATATTGTCGTGCATGGGGCCCGTAGTAAACTGGTCATGCATTTAGAGAAGTTAGAGGTGATAATCCCCTTCCATCCAAGGGAAAATTACACCAAAATGGTGAATTGCACAAACCTTTTTTCTCTCTACTTTTTCAGCCAAATTGAAAACTTGCCAATTATTTGCTACAAGACCACATTACCATACATTCAATCAATTAACTCTGCAAAACACATCACTTTCCACATCATAAACTGAATGGAGTTGAATACAAGGGGGAATAACTGGACATCAAAAAAGGATGAGGGGGTTCACTTGTAATAGGCTTCTGGTACTTTTTAGGCAAACTCATAGAGATAGTTATCCTTCAATTCATACAACAACATGTGAATTATTTATTAATATTATACTTTAGGTCTATGACATATCAATCATGTCAACTGTTTATTTTAAAATACATGAATTAGTAACACCACATGTTGGTCTGGCCGTCACACTTCAAAGTTTGAAATTACCTGTAGGATGACTAGAAATGCCTAGAGGGGGGGTGAATAGGCCAATTTAAAATTATAATAATTAAATAAACTTCAGTAGCAAGATTGATAAGAATCCTGAAACGTGCAAAGCATAAAATAAAGTAACACACAAAGAATTATTATACGTGGTAACCCACCTCTGGGGAAAAATCCACGGGACTCCTCAGTCTCAAACAAATCCACTATAGAACAATGATTACAAGAAGTACTTACATATTTACCTTAGACACATTCTAGATAATGTATACCGACTTTTTCATAACTCAACTTCTATCACAGGATGATCTTTTGACACTCCTTATGTTGAACGTAATACTAGTCACGATTGCTTCAAGCTCGCCGGAGTTCTTCTGACTTTCCTTATGTTGAATCTGATACCAGTCACGATCGATTCAAGCTCATCGGAGAAAAACCGCCACAACGGTCTTGGTGCCCTCAATTGTATGAGTCATCGAACAATGCAAATGAATGCAATATGAATGATAAAAAGTGTTTGATAAATCACCAAATAAATATGGAATACATGATGATTAATTTATCTCAAATAAAACGCAACTCTCTTAAACATTTAAGCACAAAAAACTAATGTTGAAAAGCTGTAAAAGATGAAGAAGACAAAGGTCTTCTTTTATACGATCTTCGTTCCACCAAAAAATAAAACCACGTTAAAAAAGATGAGATTGATTTTAACACAAATAAAATCAATCACCAAAGATTTTTGTCCTATTCTACAATTATGCAACGCATGGTCTAATTAGGGCTGGCAATGGGTCGGGTCGTGTCGGTCGTGTCGTGTCGGAATATTAAACGTGTCAAGAATGCTCAACCCGAACCTAACCCATTTAATAAACGTGTCGTGTCGGGTTCGGGTCGTCTTTTATTGTGCGGGTTTCAAGTCGTGTAACAGGTTGATAAATAATAACATGCATGTTACAAAAGTCACAACTGAAAAAATTTAAATTAAAAAAACGGAGAGAGGAGAGAAAATATAAGGAAAAGAAATAAAAAAAAGGATAGAGAGAGGAGAGAAGAGAGAAGGAAAAGAGAAAAAATAGAGAGAAGAGAGAAGGAAAGAAATAAAAATAAAAAAGAGAGGAGAGAAAACTAAAGAGAAGGAAAAGAAAGAAAAAAAATAAGAGAGGAGAGAAAACTAAAGAGAAGTGAAAAAAAGAGAGGAGAAAAGAGATAAGGAAAAGAAATTAAAAAAGAGAGAGGAGAAGATAGACGGAAAATAAAGAAAAACAAAAGAAGAAAAAGAAACATTATAAATATCAAGATGCATAGTATATAATCACAAAGTTGTATCTAGCATGGTGGATAAAGTGTTGGACAGTAATGAGGATGGGTAGGGGTTCGAAACCCCATGTGTGTTTTGAAGTATCTATTTCTCTATATTTTTTTGCGGGGTTGACACGGCCTGTGACACGACCTGTTTAATAAACGGGTTACACATGTGTTCTAACGGGTTGGTGGGTTGACCCGAAAGCCACCCGTTTAATAAACGAGTCAAAACGGATTGACCGAAAATTACCCAATTATTAATCGTGCGGGTTCGAGTCGTGTTTTTTCCGTGCGGGTTTCGAGTCATGTAACAGGTCGTGTAGAAAATTGCCACCCCTACCCATTTTGTCCAAAAATGACCCCCATGTCGCCCTGGGCCAAATGGTATGGCAAAGGAGTCCTAATATTCTTAGGTCAACTACCAAGAATATCTCAACACCTTTAATAATGTGATTTGATTAAAACTTGATTTCCACGTAAATTACTTAAGAGATAAGTAACAAATCATGATTGAGAGAAAGAAAGAATAAGCAAAAAGATATTGTAAAATATGCCTAAATTAGATGCACTCCTAAAGGGATTCTAATTGATTAAAATCAAGGAAAATCAAGGAAATAAAATCATATTAGATTCCAAAAAACATTCCTATTATGAGTGCATGAAAAATGACATGTCTTACCCTTTAGATCAAATGTCTCACAAGTGTTAAGTCACAATTATGGAATTTGGGGATTGCTGAGCCATTTCAATCTTACAGTTTCTGGAAATCAGAGACAGCAATTTTGCTTCACCCCTATAACTAAATGACTTATCATTCTAACAAAGTTCTAAAAAATGCCAACACAATTTCATACTAACAAAGCTTCTTGTTCTTTTCTCATGTGTAATAACTTATCAAAGAGGGGAAATGTGTGGGATGATTTTGACTGTTGAGTATGCTTGTATGGCCAAGCCCAACTCACATTAGTTGGAGACTCTAGCGTTAAGATAGACCATGGGGGATGCAATTAGCATTAGCGGGCTTGTGTTTGAAAGCCAATTTTCCATCGTGGAATCATTAATTTATTTTCATATGCTGATCATGACGCTATTGCAACTAAAATTAACTCTGAAAAATAACTTCCTATACAAACAGATTATATTAATTACCATCATCCATTAATTACCATGACAATCACCTAAGAATAAACGCTAACAAGGTTTAGTTCAATGAAAAAAAGTATTGACTTGTAGATCAATGATCTTAGGTTTGAACTCTCATGACACCTAACTTTGACTGTATATTTCTCGCTGAGTGCATGCATGCAAACTCTTGACTATATGCACTTGAGGAGTGTGCTGGAAGTACAAACACTATCCTTGCAATAATTATGCCGATATAAGAAAACAACTTGAAATTTTTTGGTAGAGGCAACTTGAAAATCCTATTGTGTTGTGTCCATTTGTTGGTAAAACACCATGCCCCTACAACATCCAATTAGGCCAATGGAGTGCCAGAAAAAGATTAGAGGTGGAGAGCTGGTTACTCGACACTAGATATAAATTTGTTCACAACACAAACATTTTAAGTTGTCCCACAATGTCCAAATAAGCCAAGGAATAACCAGCTAAAATTGGAATGGAAAGTTAATACAATTTGACATGTTGTCTTGGAGACACGCTTGAGACATCTAATGCAGTGTTCTTCAATGAAAGAGATTAGTTGTAGATGTAACTTTTGTTGAGGTGGTGGTGGTGAGACGAACATTAAGAAACTTAGTTTGAAATTCATTTACTTGTAATTTCATTTAAGCAAAAGATTATTGTTTGGCTTCTTACTATAAGCTGTGATTCTTTAACCACAGTCTGAGAGCATGTAACTCATTACAAACACATAAAGAAATTTTTTTATACATGCATCAAATTATTATTTGTCAATAAAGAGAAATGGCTCATTACAAGTAAGGAGCTACATGTGTGTGTATGTATAGAGCTTCAATTGAGGGACACATATAGAGTCCATCGTGCATTGTATTTCAATTATCTAAACCGTCTAGTTTTTAGATATTCTCTCAAAGATCATCTATGCAGAAAAGCACTTGAATCCGAAACTATTTGTACACTTAATTAAATTGTTGTTATTATAGTCTTTTTTTAAAGCACTGTGTTCTTCTATTTTGTTGATCTCAATATTTCGTTGAAAAACGTTCTTAGAGGACCCTACGGTTGGTCCCGATGTATCTGGTATAAAAAAAGAGATACATAGAGAAAAAAGGGTAAGGTGGTGAGAATTAAGCCCAAAGAAAAAGAGAGAAACCACAGCACGAGATGAGAAGCCCACAATAATGCGGTGGTGAAGTATGAGCGAAGAAGAAGTTAAATTAGAAGTTTGCTAGCACTGGATTTGGGTGTTGGGGAGTCTAATAGTAAGCTAATAAGGACGTAGTGGCTGGGTGCCGAGTGGAAAAACTCAGTTTTGAATAAATGAGTTCAGATCGGTCGGTTTATTCAGTTCGGTCATATATTAATTAGTTAGGATTTCAGAAACTCGGTTATGGACCATCTGGACAATCTAGACCAATATAATCCGAATTTGCTATCAAATTTTAAATAAAACTTGGACCGAACCGAACCGGATGATGCGGTTTGACCGGTTGTATCAGTATGCCAGGCCACATGAATTGGCGAAGGAATTCATTTAATCCAAACGTTTGGTAGGAGGCCCATCCAAACAGATTGACTAGGGTAAAGGACTACCAAATGGAAATACACATCTCTGTTTTTCTATCTATATTGTAAAAAGTAATCTTCTGAAGAGGAGAGTTCTTTTAGGACTTGGGTTTTCACATTTATATATACGCCCATGAAACATTATGATGACCAAAGAGTTGTAATGTTCTCGACCAAATCAATCATTCTGGCAAGGAGATGAGACATAACTTCAAAGAAAAAATTCGATTGAATTATGTCATTGATCAACGTTTTGGGTGGTCATACAATTTCCTCCAAAGGGAAAACACTAGAAAAAGGAATGTGCAAGTACACGATTACTTTACAAAATTCTCTACTAATTCATATGTTAAGTAGTGCATGCATATGCTGCAAATCACAATCCATTAATTCAAGCGGGAAGTGAGGTCAATGAAGATGTCTTCTCTACAAGGAATTGTGAGTCCACCCATCGGATAATTGTATCCGAATTCTTCCTCTGCCTTCCTTAGCAACTCTTGAAATGAAGGCTGATTCAAGAACGATATCGGAACGACAAATCGCTTCTTTTCAAATTCTCCAACGTACACTACAATGTAGCCTTTTGGAACACCAACAGAAGATGATGATGCGGCTTTGTTTGCAAACAATAAGCTCGATTGTCGTAGAATTTGTGATAACCGAATCGCCATGCTTAATAAGGAAACTTAATTATCACCTTATTAAAAGGGGCTGGAAAAAAAAAAAACACTTGGAAGAAAGAGAGAAGAGAGAATAGATTTTCTAGCTTGTGGAGAATGCGAGGAGTACTTTGGTTTGCAAATTTTGTTGGGATATTGTGTGTGTATAAATAGAGAAGTAAGATGGAGAAAAATGTATGGAAAATTGTACATTTGTGAGGGCAATTTGGGAAGGGAATGGTAGACATATAAATATTAGGTTAATGCACATGGTTGTGTTCCTTCTTATGCTCAAAATCTTGGTAGCTATGGATTGAGGGTAGCATATTTTGATGGGACCATTATGCCCCCAAACATTGTTCTTGACCACAAACCTACAAGGAAGTGAGGAAAACTGGTATTGTTGTAAGTTCTAGTGGCTGACCTTAAATAGCGGAGAGCCATAGACACATATGTCTATGATTTCTTGACAACAACATTTAAAGATTGTATGCATCATCTTACTTTTAGCATTATTATAAGGTGTGATATCTAGTTATTTACCAGTTTTAGCTTATGCATGCCAAACAAAACAAAGTATCTCATTAGTTTGAGGCTCATTTTCTTTACCTTAATCAAGCTTTGGACAAACATCTTTGAAATATTAGTCTCACAATATATAAATTCAGCCCTTCTACTTCAACCTACCATGCACCGATATTGTCCACACTTTAACCACCTAGAAGAGAGAAGACCCAATGGACCTTTAGGTGTGGTCACAAAAGGTCTTGGTGCAATTAGGAGTAGACCACCTATATTTAAACCGTGGAGTATTTTTGTATTCTTGACTTGTATTCGAGCCACCTACATCAATACTTAATAGTTCAAGTTAGAATTTATTCTCGAAACACCTTTAGCACTACTGTGACAAGTTTTTTTAACTTATGAAAATCTTATTGTTTTTCTTTTCTTTCATAAAGGAAAATACTTGCCTCCTTCTGTGGAAGTAGGAACTCATACTTTCCTGCCAATCACAGTTTGACATGTGTGTAGAGATTTTTCTTTTTGTGGTTTTCATGAATTATTTTTGCAAATGTGTCAAACTGTGATTTGCAGGAAGTAGGAATGCCTACTTCGAGGGAAGGAGGGAAGGAGGGAAGGAGGGAAGCAGTGCCCTTAAAAAAAACCTTTAGCCTATAAGTTCATTTTTTTGTCTAATGTAGTATATATAAGTTTTTATTGTATTACGAGAATTTTATTCAAGTCTATTATCTGTAATTCTTGTTATTGTATGAACAAACATAAAAGGTTTAACAAGTATACACTACACAACACACAAATTTATGAATGGATGTGGATATAAAACAAAGTTTTGGGGAAAATAGTATATATATACAAAAGCTATACACAAAATGTACGTCTTCTTCTTGTCCTACTACATCAACTTGCTAGACATTCCCTCTTGAAGAGCACATGACGTGCGGCCTACACTTATCCAAAGTTGCAAGTTTGCAACCCACCCCATTTGAAGTTAATAACTAAATCCTGTTGTGACATGAATTTATTGTCATTTTGGTGTATAATAAAAAAAGTAAAATGGCTGGAAAAGAAAGGTAACAAGGTAATGGACTGAAAGTAATTTCAGAATCTAGCGAGGAACACCTTACATTTGATGTTGCAAATTCTAGAACTGATAAAAAGAAATTGTACGGTGTCAACAATTTCTATTTACAATTTCCTCAACTGGTCATACAAGTTGGAAGATTTCTTGTCATTTCTGTTTACAATTTCTGTTCACAATTTGTATCACAGATCACATGTCATTTAATCTAGAAGTAAGATTGATGAAGATTTCTTCTCTGCAAGGGATTGTGAGTCCACCCATTGGATGGTCAAATCCAAACTCTTCCTCTGCCTTACTTAGCAACTCTTGGAATGAAGGCTGACTCAAGAATGAAATTGGAACCATGTATCTCTTCTTTTCACTCTCTCCAACATACACTGCTAAGAAGCCTTTTGGAACACCTATAGCAGATCTTGAAGCTGCTCGGTTTGCGAAAAGACTTCCTCGTCGGAGGATCTGCTTAGCATGCATAATACTAGGCAATCGGATAGCCATATGTTTAAAAATCTGAATTATCTCTTTTCAAAAAGAGCTTGAAGTTGAAAGTTGACTGGAAGAAAAAGATTTAGGTTAAGATGGTGATGAGGAGTTGATTTATGGGATAATATGTGTGTATATATATATATATATATATATATATATATATAT